CCGTGGATCTGCAGTGGGCTCTGGCTTGGGGACATGTAGCTGGGCACTCCCCCTCCCCACTGTCCTCCAGCAGGTCAGGGTGGCATCAGCCACATGTCACTTGTCCCCACCAGCGCCAGACCCCTGAGGAGCAGCATGGAACTCGGTGGGAGGTGGGAAAACACGGCTGGTGAAACACCCCAGGAGCCCTGAGCCTTCAGCATCCATCTGGGGGGGCCCAGCCCCCTGAGCCCCCCAACCCCCCGCCTGCTGCCTCCCCCGGGGCCAAAATAAACAGGGACTAACTTTGCCCCCAGCCTTGTGCCCACGACGAGTTTTATTGCTCGTGATGCAAATCCCTGCGGATGCATGAAATGGCTCCAGCAAGGGTCCCCCGACCCCCTCCCCAGCACCAGGGGGGCCGCGGCCGTGGGGGAGATGGCGGTGATGAAGTTATTAGCTCCGGAAGCACTAATTGCTGCTGTATTAATGGCTCTTTTGTCCGGCGAGCTGCCTTTCAGTGTACGTGTGCTGGGCGGTTGTTTTTCTGCCAGCTGCTGTGTGGTTGGATGCTCTTCGGTATTTAGTTTGATCCTATTAAGGTGGATCTCAATTAATTAGGCAGGAGGCAGCGAGACAAAGAGAGACTCCGGGGCCATTCATTTCAGTCTTGTCATCGCGCCTTCTGCAGCCGGGAGGCAGCGGGAGAGCGGGAAGGGACGTGGGATACAGGATACAGGATACAGGATGTGAAAGCGCTGGGAGATGGGAACAGGGAGGGCAAGGTGGGGTGGCAGCAGGGTCCCCTAAAGATCTCCGGGTCCCCTGCCCACTGGCTGGGACTGTGAGGCAGGCTGACCTCCCCCAGCCCTGCGGAAAGGCAGATGCAGCCACCGGGTCCTACCCCCTGGGACTGTGGGGTCCTGCTCCACCCAAAAGCATCCCCTCAGATATACGGGGGATCTCTGGCAATTCCAACGGCGAGAGCTTTAGGTGAGGCAGGAGCACCCACCCTGCCTCCCCGCGCTGGGCACCGGGTCTGCTTCCCTGCGGTGCTGCCCCAAGGGACGGGGCAGCCCCCGGGGGGCTCTGCAGCCCCCGGGGTGAGCCTCCTGCCCTGGTCCCCCCGCTCCCAGCTGCCGCCCCCTCCGCGGAGGGG